CAAAGATACTTTTTTTATATGCAAAAATTTTTCTGCAAAATTATTTTAAATAAATTTTACTAAAATTTATCAACAATAAACTAATCCCTTCTTGAATTATATCATACGATTATTAATAATATTTAAAATATTACGCCAAGTTCTCGTTCGTAACAAATTTTTTTTTCTTCAATTTTTCTTTCTGTGAGTGGTGTAAGTTTTGTTTCTTCTACTACTTCGGCTGAATGATTGTCAGACTTCACAGGCCTAAATAAAATAATTAAAAAGTAGCATTAAAAAATTCAAATAAATTATAAGAATAATATTTTTATTCACATTCAACTAACTGCTCAATGAGGTACTTCATTGCTAATAAATGCAGGTCAAATTTTAATAACAGTTAAATTCAAATTCAAAGGTTTATTTCTAAAATTATTTAAAAAATATTGTGGAATTTATATAAAATTAAGTTTTATAAATTTCCAAAATTTTGGTACATAAATAAATAATTAGGCAAAATGGAACACATTTCTAAGTTTTAAGTGGAAAAAATATGCTAAAATATTTTCTATGCAAAAAAGAAAATATTTTCTAAAAGTAAAATGATTGAAATAGTACTGAAAATATAATCTGCCTTATGAGATGAATTAAAATAATCATAAAAATAATAATTTGTTTTAAAATTTTAAACGACACTCTTTAAAAACAAACAGTAAAAATTATTGAGATTGTAGCAATAAAAATAAAACAAAATGATATGATAAATGGATGACTTAAATAATTGAATTGTAAGAAACTTTGCAATGATAAACAAAAAATAACCCACTCATGAATAAGGTCAAATTATGAGAGGTCATAAGAGTTATCACTGCAATCTATAACATCACATATTCAATTCAAAAAAAAATATTTAAATTAATAACGATAAAGCTAACATTAATAACAAAGTTAACAAAATATGATTGTTAAGGCAAAAAATAATTATTATTGAGATGATAAAGCTAAATTTTAATTTGTTAAGAGTAAAAGCATTTTTTATTTTAAATTTTAAACTAATAAAAATTTGATAGTGCCAATCAAACAGAATGCTTTAAGACTTTTTTTTGAAATAATTACGGTATTAGAAGTTAAGAAAACTTCTTTAACCCAAAGTATTACAGAAGTATAAAGATGAAGGTAATAATAGTTATGTACTATTCAAAATAAAATTTACAGTTAGTTTAAATACAAAAGTTTAAAATTCTATCACTAAACTTTTCCATCTAATTTGGCACACTTTTCTTAAATGTATCTTTCAATATATTCGTTAATTTTGATATCAGTAAATGCATAAAATTCTTTAAATTATTATTACAAAATGTACAACTTTTTTCATAAAATTTAAACTTGATTACATGAGTTAATTACAATGTTTAAAATTCTTTTGGATTATTTCTGAGCGATCAATGAGAAACTAAGGTACTTAATTACTTTAATTTAAATACTTCGATAATCAAAGTACTGAATTACTTAAAAATATAGCGAAGTCAGTTAAATGAATAACTAACTAACCGTAATGAGATGGCGAGAAAAAGAAAACTTTTAGGAAAAATTGGGTGATAAGTAATTAAATACAGTCATTGTGTTCATTCCTCTATTGTTTTGTTCGTTTTTTTTTTGCACAATTTGAGAATTTTCGCGAGACTTACGCAAAAAAGTCGTAAATTTCTTTAAAACACTTCTGCGTTATTGTCAGAAAAGAAAATGTGCGCAGTTAGTCACATTTATTTTCATATCTAACAATCACATCGCGAATTATCATTAATTTTCAAATTACAATACAATGTATAGTTTAATTACAAATGGCTTAATATGGAAAGATGAAGAGAAAATTCTTTTGCAAAGATTAGTTAAGATACGTACGTCAATTTCATAATATAAGTGATTATAATTAAGTTTTATCATTTATCATCCACGCTGTTATCACTTGTATCCATCTTTGAATTCAGATTTTTGCAAAATTATATGCAAATATTTTGCATTTATTGTGTATATATGTGCAACCACAATTTAACGTTACCAAATATTTTCAGTTGAAAGAATAAATTTTGTAGGATGTTCATTTTTCTGACTACTGTAAAATTTTGGCGGAAGTAATATTTACTTAAGATAGACGATGAAGTAATATTACAACAAGTAAACGGTAAAAATAACGTTAACTGTAAGCGACTGCAGCAACAACTTAAAGAGATTTTTTAATTGTGATTACCGTAAGATTATGAAGTTTTCAACTTGAGGTCACTTTCGCTGACTTATCAAAACAATAGGATTTTTGATTTCTAATTACTGGCCAGCTTTCAATTTTTGAGTATTGTAAAACAGCAAGGTCATCGACTCTTTATTATGGTGTGAATGTTAGATCTTGATTTTAACTACTATAGTGTGTAGATTTTTGATTTACGATTACTGTAAGAAATAAAGTAACGTAAGAAACGAATTGTTTCACCGTTTTGTAAGAAGATTTGAATCCAACGGTTGAAATTTGTCGACTTTTCCTTCTTCTCTTGCGCGCATGTAATCAGCTGTTTGCTTGCATTTAACTGGTAAACTTGTTATCTCTATATCATTATTTCTAAAATGTACAATTATTGTCATCAAAATTACATTTCTGACATCAATATAATTGTTATGATTACTATTGTCATTATTAACAGTATTATTTTTTTACCTTTGCCATGTTTCAAGAACAAAAAATTTAATTTCTCAGATTTAGTTATATTTTTTATTAATTACAGCCAAAAACCAGAATTCTATTTCCAGCAGATATACAATTAAGATGGATAAAATTTGCATATGTTCCGTAAATTATAAAATAAAACTTAAGTCCATCGAAACGTAAATGATACGTACTTCTTTAATGTTTCCATTGATTCTTCCATATTTTCAGTAATTGGAGGCACGTATGGATGTGATGAACATCGATAGTTGCTTCCATTAGTATTTACTCCAAAATAACTTTCTGATTCATCGCCACCTGTCAAAAAGAATAACTTAAGTCTACAGTAAAATCAAATTATAATAAAGTCCTCATTAACTCAATATTATTCTTATTAATTCATTACTTTTATTTCATATAAAATAAATTATTACAGTACTGAAAATTTTTCGCGCGAAATTTGAAGATAAGCAAAAAACGTAAATGATTCTTTGCACCATCACTAAGATTCTGGTAATTCATCAGTATTTAATTTAATTTTTATTATTATTAATTTAATAAATTACATCATAATAATTAATAATTAGTACGAATTGACTTAATAAATTACATCATAATAATTAATAATAATTAGTACGAAATCATAATAATTAGTACGAATAAGTAAGTATTTTCATAGAATTTTCTGAAAATTATTTGTATTCTCAACTATCACGTTGTGCATCTGATCAGTATTGGTGCATCATAATTTTCTTCATACCTTCCTAAATCTTATGACCATACTTTAAAGATTCATAATAATGGAGTTCATTTTGAATCAAACATACTTTTTGTAAATCCATCTGATCCAACTGTATGGCTTAAAGTTTGTTCTTCATCACGAGGTAACGTATGATTACGTTCATAAGTCGGCTTTATCATACTAAGGTCACTTTTTTGCGTTTGGCCACTTTCATTTGATTTGAGTGATTCATCACCAAAATATCGTAACTGTGCTTGCTTTGGATTTATTGCTCCAATACTTCCAGTGCCGTATTGCCGAACACTGTAACTACTAGATTCCAAATCATGATATTCCGCCGGCTTCATGCCGTAACTTCGATCATCTGTTTCAAAACTATCAGCACTTTCAAAATGATCAGCTCTATCAGATCTTTCTTTGACACTATGATCAGTAACTTCCATCGGTGGATGTGGTCTTCCCACATACATTTTTTCTGTTGTTTGGTACGGTAGATGGGAATCTGTATTTGCTAAATAAGTGCGTGAATCAGACTGAATATCTCGATTAGGTACAATATTTGTGTCTTTCGTTTTTGGCACTTCATATGCTCGAATTTCCTTATAAGTTGTAGGAGTTAATCCACGTTCCTCATAAGGAAGATTCCTTACCGTCCCTTTTGCAAATTCATATGTACGAGTTGGAGATAAGCTACTGTAGCGAGTTTCAGTTGTAAATGTAGATGTTACAGTACCTCGTCCATCATCTGCAATTGTTTTGTTATCAAAATGCATTTAAATGCTCTGCATATTTTTTATACAAAACTATAAATTAACTTTCATTAAAAGAAGTATTGAAATTTATTACATTTTTTACCTGTGAATGTCCTGCTACTAATAGTTTGCTCTGATACCATATTTCTACTATCCTTAACATTGTTACTATCATCATCACCTCTACTATTACTACCATATTGAGCTACAGTATAACCCAAACGATCATCTTTTCTCTCAGCCATATTTGTAGAAATTATATCAGTTTCTGGCTCTTTTCCTCGAACTATTAGATCATATTCATCAATTTTTCTTGATCTAAAATATATTTCTCCTTGAAAATTGCGTAAAAAATAAAAAAACTTCGGATTAAAAAATGTTTAAATTTTATTTTTTTCTAAAGTAATATTATTGTGCTCAAAAATTTAATTAATTAAATTCTTGATAATTTTTAATCTATAAATATTTCAATAAAAGTAATTATTTGACCTTTCACTTCCCAGAGATGGTGAATGTGACGTAATTCGAGTTAAGGGTGATTTCCATGGCATTGGACTGGTTGATTGCTGACTACTCGATTCCCACCGAGAACTACCAATTCAATGTTTATAAACTTATTTTTAAATTTAAAAAGTGTATTAACTAATTTTTCTTCTACACATTTCTTTTAAATACTTTTATTCATTTTTGTTTAAAAAATCCAACTTAGAAACTAGAATTTCTTCGCTTATTAAAATATACATAAGTTTAATTGCAAAATTTTGACAAAGATCTGCTTTTCTACTTAATTTAAATTTTCAAAAAATTTAAAAACAATAATCAGTAGGTCAGTATTTTAATTTGAATAAAAATGTGTTAGCTTAAAATCAGGTTCTTTTTTTTTGAATTTTTCGATTTTCATGAATTTTAATTTTTTTTAAAGTTATATAAAATGTTCAGCATTGACTTTCAACTTTTTGTTGAGTCAAATTTCTGAATTGAAATCTTCTTTCTAATTCAATTAGAATCTCAATTAATCTACAAAAGATGTTCCGACAGCAGTTTAGATTTTTTAAACTTTGAGCATATCCTAACCTATGTCGACTATCGCTTTTTGCCTCATTTCGAAGCAAGTCTTGAGATTTACTGTAATCTGGAATTAATGATCGATCAGTCGATTTTTCACGCGTGTGTTGAAGTAATGCTGGAGAACTATATGATTCGGTACTTTCTTGCAAAGTTAGATTCTGCGATGGTGACTTTTGTACTGTAAAATATCAATCAGTTAAAAAAAATTAATACCAAAGTTATTTTTTAAATTTATAATCAAAAAAATTATCAACAAAAACATAAGGATAAGATTGATACTTAGTTATTGCTGGAATAGATTAAAACAAAAAATTTCAGAATTAAGCAAAACTATAAATTATAATACACATAGATGACTTTAAAAATTAGCATAAATTTCTTATTGATTACCGCGATTAAATTTTTCTACTGCAAATTTAAGCAATATTTCGCAGATAAAGTTTGATAACATTTTTTCCACTTTTAACACATTAGTAAAATCTGATAACTGATCAGTTTTTCTTGTATTAATCGTAGATAACAGTATTCTCGTACGAAAAGTCAAGTCTTAGTAACCAATTACGTTTTGAGATATTTCGAACTGACTGCTTTGAAATAAAATAAGTAGAAAAATATCTTATGAACTTTGACTTTTCATAGCTTTTAATTTTTTCTAAATTAAGAATTCAACTGCAACTGAGTAATGATATGGTAAGTTGGACTTTTTTTGATATAAAGTTCAGCCATATTCTACAAAAATGTATCACATTTATTAAAATCTACAAAAATATATCATACCGTATTTATTTAAACAAACAGTCTAATTATTTTCACCTAAAATCACGATTACTTACAAAGCGAATTCGCTAAAGTTTGCACTTGAAAATCAGTTATGCATCATGTGGAATACAAACTTTGAAATCTTTGTAATAAATTGCAAATTCTTGAATAATACCAGCTGTTATTAAATACTTAATGACGACTTTATTCTAGGTTTTATCATAATTACAATGACAACATATTTATCCTTATTTTGATTTTATAATCATGATATTTTCATTATTTGTTGAATTCCAAATACGCAAACAAATGATTGCATCTATTTTTCAAGCGTTTTGCCTTCTAAAATTTTTCGCAAATATTTGCGTAAGCAATATTTAATCATAAACAGCACGTAAAATTAAATTATTTTCTCGTCAATTTTCAATAAATTAAATAATCAAAAAAAAGTTTGTTTTATTTAAAATTGTAATTATCTACAAAAAGTTGTACATTTAATCTTAAAATTATAACTATCCATACTGAAATACCAAAAGTGATGTCAAAACGTTGATCAATTAATTAGAAGGTTTCATGATCGCAAAAGTTATCGCATGGTAATGTTTAAAATGATAATGTTTGAAAACGTAATGTTTAAAATGACACTATCAAATAACTTGTTTTCCATTTGACTTGCGCACACAAAGGAATTTTACAGCAGTCTTAACCAGTTTTTACAACTATCATAATTTACAGTTAGCAAGTTAATTTTTATAGCTAGTTTGTAAACAACGTTATTTTTATTAACTAAAAAAAGTTTAACGAATAAATCTAACAATACTATTTGTTTCATTAATACTCTAACAACACATAAATACTCATTACCGTAATTAATTGAAATCTAAACAAATATATGTTAAGTACCAATCAGTAGTGACAAATTTAAAATAATAATAATAATAACAGTGAAATTTTAAATAAAATAATATTTGCAGTAATTTTTACAAAATTTCACGAGTTTTTTCCCTATTAAATACAAAAGCACTAGTCGATTATTCATTTTAATCCGCAAATTATTGTTATCTAAAATAAACATTGTCAATTGTGTCCCTAACAATTGCTTATGCATGTTTTCATGATTTTATTTTTATTCAAAAGTTAATCCTAAAGTAAAACTTAAGCAGAAAATTATATTATATCCTTTAAATAACACAAAAACTTACTTTACTTCGAATCTGAGATATACTCAAAATTTTTATTCAGTTTTAATTTTATACTCAAAATTCTTCTCCTCCAAACTTCATTTTAAGTAGTATTAATTTAAAAATATCACTACTCAATATAAGTAATTATTATGATTTGGATTAAGATGTGCCTCATCAATTATCCACCATGTTATCTTATTTATTTTCCTCATTAATTATCATAAATATATATTTCAGTTACTGTATCAGTAGAATAACTTTAGCTATCTCTTAATATATTTTAATTAAAGTTTTTCAAGCAATAATTTTTATAAATTACAATTTTTTCGATTAAT